ATAACTTTTCCCAAAGGTGTTTTCATTTCGCGAAGCAGTCCTGAATAGTTTCATTTGAAATGGTCTTTAAAGTCTGTGATGAATTTGCTTTGACGTCATCAATAGTCTAAAAACGACGTCCTTTTAGCAGTGATTTTAATTTAGGAAATAAGAAAAAATAGCAAGGAGCCAGGTCTGACGAGTAAGGAGGGTGAGGGAGGGCAGTAATCTAATTTTTGGCACAAAACTGACGAATTGACAAAGCAGAGTGTTCGGGCGCATTGTCATGGTGCAAGAACCATGAGTTGTCTCACCACAACTCTGATCTCTTTTTGCGGATTTTTTCAGTTAACCGTTGTAAAACGCCTGGGTAGTACACACGGTTCATTGTTTGATTTTGAGGCAAGAATTCAAAATGCACAATTTCATTAAAGTCGAAAAAACAGTGAGCTTCACTTTGACATTGGATCGAGATTGACGTGCTTTTTGGGGCATGGGTATTCTTTGCCAATCTATTGTCTCAATATCGTAGCCATAAGCCCAAATTTCGTCTCCCTTTATGATCGATTAAATGAATGTTTCATCGTTATTGGATTGTTCAAGGAGTTGCCGACAAACGTCCACACGATTTTCTTACTGTTGTTCGGTCATCAAGCGAGGAACAAATTTTGCTGCAACTCGATGCATGTTCAATTTTTCAGTCAAAATTTTATGGCGTGACCCAATTGAGATGCTAATCTCTTCTGCAAATTCTCCGAATTAAATCGCCGATTTGCAGGCACCAAATCTATGACTTGACAGTTGAAGTCGAAGGCCTTGTTGGTCGAGAATGATCTTCAACTGACTGTCGACCACTTTTAAATCGTGAAAACCATTCGTTACCTTGCGTACGAGACCCAGAGCATCATCTTCGTAAGTTTGTTTAAAAAGTTGAAATGTTTCCGTGAAAGTTTTCCCCAATTACAAATGTTCTGTTATTTTCTCAAGAGACCTCGTATATACTTCAAGGAGTTTAACTCAATGACATGGCAACCAACTCGGAAATTGTTCTTCCGAATAATATGACCGTTTTTTCACATATGCTCACAGTTTTTCTATTTTTCAAATTCTTCCTCTCTAGTATTTATAGTTCCGAAATTCTCCTATTTAAAGATCTGGAAGTTACGCCAATATTATGCTTACCTACTACATTCACAAGATACACCCGTTGCAAGTCTAGAACATTTGTGTCTCATTTTCGAGTTTTTAATAAATTTATTCGTTTCAAAAACTGTTTAGTTCATTCATATTTTACCAATTTTATTATTTTCTGTTTTAGATAAACAGTGATACATGTGTTTCAAATAATTCCTTAATTTTTTATATGATGAAAGGCAACAGAACAAAAAACCAGTCACAGTTCACAATGAGCCAATTGTGTTTTGAGTGATAAGAGTCTACTATCTCATTGTTTCTTTATCCTTTTGGCACAAGGGATTATTTATTTAGATTTGTTATTTTTACTCTGACAGAAACAGACAATTTAATAAAAGTACACAGAAAATACCTCAAGTAAATAATTGGAAAGAGTATTTTTATTGTAATTAAATTTGTTCTAGTTCAATTGTTCCTTCACTTATTAATCAGAATTATTTTGAAAATATGTAGTTTCTATTGTGGGTTTCAATAATAATATTATCATTGTAATAATAACGTAAAATGGCAAGAACAAAAAATGAAAAACAAAAAAACTTCAATAAAACCTTCTTTAAAAAAAATAGTCATCTTTAAAATGAATTTGATATTATTATCTTAAAGCACTTTAAAGGTAATATATTAGTTTCCCATCTAAATAAAGAACCTTCAAACATTCCGAATAGTACCTAGTTATAGTTTACTATTAGGTATATTCTTAATACCATATATTTAATCCAGTAAGAAAAGTTTTTTTCCAGGGAGAAAATGTAGAAATTTTTCCTCACCGGTTCTATATGTTTTTGGGGTGCTGAATCCGAATCTGAAGTTTGCCACCTCGCCAGGCGTCGGCTTCACAAGGAAAATTGCAAATAACCTCAAATTTTCGGCACTTTCTTCAGTTTTTTAACCATAACTCGAAAACGAAGCGTTTTTTTGATTATAACTATGATTAACCAAATTAAAGTAGACAAAATTTCTTACAAATACGTATAAAAACCATAAACTCTGGACAATCCATAATAACGTCGTTAGATCGTGTTGAAAAAATGGCATTTCTTAACTTTCCCGCTAAAAAAGTTGAAAACGTTATTCTAACTGCGCGCTGGTGGCCTACTATCAACTTCAAACACCTCTAAAATCAATTGCCCTTTCTGCCCTTCTGGCACTTGCAGGCAATGAATGTCAGAAGCTTCTCTGGGGCTGGGGACATACATCGCTCAGATTCGGATTTAGCACCCCAAAAAACATATAGAACCAGTGAGAAAAAAACTTCTACATTTTTTTCCTGGAAACGCCGTTTCTGAACCTTGGATGACTGAACTAATTGTACTTTGTATTTATTTGTGAATCACCCTTTATCATAAAATATATCACACGAAAGGGAGCATCTACATTTTTAAATTAAACTAGAAAGAAAACAATATTTGTTGTTTCCGAAAATCCATATTTCGTCGTTAATCTTTCAAATGGGCGTAAGCAACAAAAAGAAAATCGATTATTCTCTTTTTGAAATAAGCCCTTCGGGTAATGGAAGCATAAACAGGGTGTCCCTGAAAAGGATGGACAACGCTTGACCACAGGTTCCTTGGATGAAAACAAGACTATTTAGCCTAACTTACCTATATCCAAAAGTGCACGCCTACTGAGATAATAGCCTTCTAAATATAGAATAGATAACCTATTTTTTTTCAAATAATTTGAAAATAATTTTTCTTAGAAACTTCAGATTCTTCAGAGATAGAATTTGGAGAGAATACATATACAGTATGTTCTATTTCTAGTGCCTGTGCGCCACTGTTTATCCCGTAACTTTTTTGTGTGTATGCCAATGACGACAGAATTAATATTTTTTAAAATAAGCACAATTTTAGAAGATTTTTGCTCTTACGAAATTTCGATATCGTTTATGGATTTCGAGTAAAATTCGCATTTTTTATACATTAAATATAGGCAAAAATTCCGATTTATAAAAAATAATTTATAACTGCAGCCTCAAAGCAGGGAATAATAATGAAAAAACGTCACATTAAAAAAAATAACTACACATTTTTGGTATTAGTATTATCAATCAATAAAATAAAAATCAACACTAATATTTTAAATAAACAATATCAACTAATAATGTAAGAAAGTCAACATTAACATTTTAAATAAACTGATATTTGTAATCACATTAAAATAATATTACAGTAAATGCTCAAAGTTACTTTCTTGTTCTTAAACGCAAACATTAGTTCTTCGAAAATTAGAAATTATCCAATAATTGTGCATTACCTCTCATAACATTAATTTCATGTTGTATTCTTTCCCATATTCGTTTTCTGTATTTACTGAAAAGTTATTTTAAACTGTGGTCCTCAACGCTCCCCAAATGAAATAATTACATGGGTTTAGGTCCGGGGATCGAGGTGGCCATTTTAAAGGGGCATTATTTCCTCTACCTATCCACCTGTTAGACCTTTAATAACCTGTAATACCTACCTGTACCCTGTAATACCTGTAACCTGTAATAACTGGTCTTTTAATACTCTATTAAAGGAACTTTTTGAAAGCCAACCTCTGCCGCTAAACGCCTTTTATTTACTTGAGGAATTTCTTCGACCCTTTCCAAAATTTGTTCCTCCAGCTGAATAATTCCGGCCGTACATTATCCACGATTTAATGTTACAGGTAAAAAACGTCCTGTTTCCCGAAGGCGTCTCTCCGCATTAGCAAATGTTTTGTGATTTGGAGTTCTTCGATTAGGAAATCTTTCAGCATATGTTCGAACAGTAGCACAACAATTTCCTTCACAATAACCCAAAACTACTAACATATCAGTTTGTTCAGCAAAAGTATAAATTGCAATAAAAAACAAAGTAAGCTAAAATTAAATCACAGCTAGCTTGACACAGAACCTTTTAATTATTGTTATGAATTTGTTTCTCTGTTATATGGCACCTCGTACTAGAATGTTCTATTTATCTTAAACTGATTTTATATTATTTAATGTGTAAAAAATGCCAATTTTACTCGAAATCCATAAACGATATCAAAATTTTGTAAGAGGCAAAAAATCTTCTAAAATAGTGCTTATTTTTAAAAATATAAATTCTGTCGTCATTGGCGTACATACAAAAAAGTTACGGGATAGCCAGTGGCGCACAGGCACTAGAAAGAGAACATCCTGTATATGTATTCTCACCAAATTCTATATTTACATTGCCCTTATATAAAAAAATATGTGTACCAAATTTGAAGTTTCTAAGAAAAGGAGTTTTCAAATTATTTGAAAAAAACTAGGTTATCTGTTCTATATTTAGAAGGCTATTATCTCAGTAGGCGTGCACTTTTGGATATAGGTAAGTTAGGCTAAATAGTCTTGTTTTCATCCAAGGAACCTGTGGTCAAGCGTTGTCCATCCTTTTCAGGGACACCCTGTATATTCACTTATATTTTACATAATTAGCACTAATCCATCATACGTAGGTACAACAAAAAATTCGTATGAAATTACTTTTCTTCATATTGTTTTGCTAACGAACTACTCAAATAGCCGTTTTTGTATTTACGCCCCTTTGTCTTTTTAATTACGATTTTTTTTATCATAGATCATCGCAGCTGTACAGTTAATTTAATACTATTAACTTTCTTATTTCTTCTGTTCTGAAAACATAAAATATCAGATATATACACATGAGATAGGGAACGATATGTCTGAAACCGTGCATTTCCTGTCGAAAATTTATACATATAAATCTGTTCGCTTATTTTATGCAATAACTCGTGAAACACCCCATATAAGTTTTGTACTAAATCTCGTTGCTGCTCAAATTTTAACATTTATTCCTTTTTATTCATTTCAGGAATGAAACCACGTATGAAGAATCACTTCCGTGCACATCAGCTCAGTGTCTGGCTGCGCCTCATCCCCGAGCTGCACCGCGCCGGAATGGAAGACGTCGTCGCTAGACACAATCTCTTTAGAAATCACAACAATGCCGATTTATACGACGGTGCCGTCCGCCCCGATCCTTTATCACGGGTTAGTTATTACGATCCGACGATGGAACTTTTTAGAAGACGACCGAACTCGAGCCTCACGAATCTAGATACCCCTACTACAATGGATACCATTGTTACCACTTGCGTTAACGTCGTCTCGGCGGGAAATTACAATCCGCAACTATTCCAAAATCAAAATAGTTCCACGGACACTTTGGCTAGCCTGGAAGCTGCCGGCTATGCAGCGTACAGCACTGCTCTGAGTGTAACAATTGCCATCGGCTGTTCGCTGCTTATCCTCAACGTTCTGATTTTCGCCGGAGTGTACTATCAGCGCGACAAGACTAGAATGGAGGTGAAAAACCTGCAGCAGCAACAAAACAGAAACCAAGCCACATTTGAGACCATTTCGAAACATCAGCATTACCACTTAGGGCACTCGCAAAGTTCAAATGTTATCGTCGACGTTGAACAGGACACTTCTGCTATGATCATGGCTGCAAACGCCCAGCAAGATATTCATCTTAACAAGGTGCAACACCTTTGTCCCACCAGCATCTCCAACACCTTGAAAGCTCCACCTCCTAGCCCAAACGTTATGATGCAGAACTGCATGACCCTTCCAAAAAACGCGTCTATGCAGATGCACAACCTCCAGAACTACCAGACTCATCAGGGATGCATGACTCTTCCAAAAAACTCAACTCTGATGAATAACACTGCTTGCGTCATAGCTGAGATGCAGCAGCAGGGCATCGTGCAACCTCCGAATGGAAACGCTACCATGCCGCTGAACGTTCCAAAGCCACCGCCCCCGCCAAGGGCGAAGAGTCCCGAGACACAGCCCTTACTGTCTTCTCATCACAACAATTCGGGTAAAGGGAATATAAGGCTGCCTCAAGCGGCTATGAGTGAGATGAGGGTGTGATAAAAATATTAGTGAGGTGAACTGTTGGGAATACGCTCAAAGACTCTATTCGTCCGATAAACTTCTAAGTGCGATACATTGTTTTTGTTTCCTTCTTCGATTGATGGCCTATGAGGCGGCCTGAATCCTAGTCTTTGTACATAATACGAAATTTATTATGAATGTTTATGTGTGTAAGTGTAAATTAATAATGTTTTTCACAATTCTTAGAGTTTATTAAGTTGTTGTGTTGGTTTAAAGGAAAAATAGAAGATTCAGTTGAAAGTGTACCTAAAAAATGCACATCATTTAGAACAATTTTTTTCTACTATCAGCCGAAAAGTCTCATACATATTTTTTTATTAAAACAAATGTTTAACAGTTTATGTTGTACATGGCATTTCAGACGATAAAGAATGAAATGGCGAAGTCTACAGGTAAAAATGTGACTTTTTTCACGTAAACAAGTATCCTAAAATGCACCCCTTCCAAGATTCAGCCCTTTAAAGTATAAAGAATACGAATTTTCTTAATTACTTGTTAATAATAGTGAATAAAATTTTTAAATTTAAGTTGCTGTGTAAACTCTATTGAATTCTGAACAACAAATAATTTAAAAATAAAAATGGGAATACATCAGGAGGTTGCACCGTTTCAACCATCACTAACTTGAAATGAGAAATAAAACAAATCAGAACAAGAGTAGAACTAGAAAATATGTGTAAGATGTTTGTTTTTTGCCTTTTGCATTATTCTATGAACTACCGTTTTTGAGAAAATGCGGCTCTATTTATTTCGTTTCCCTTTTAAATTGTGTTATAATATGCAAAATTACTACTGACTATTCTATTTAAATTTAATTTATATCGGTTACTTTAATTTTTTCAGCAAATGTTGCTAGCAGTTCTTAAAAATATCCAGGGTATTTCTGATAGTTCCAAAACCATTTAAAAATATTTGTGGCAATACTACAATTGTTCGCATTTGCTCTGAGTAAGCTGAAGTGACTTTAAAGAACACCAAAAATTAAAGTCAAGTGGATTACTTTCCGAGATCGGGGTAACCGTTATATCAATTCACCTGTAGACGCGTCGCTGTAAAAAAATCGATGAATTGACGTCCGCTTTTTTATTGTTAAAATGTGCAGAGAAAGGCAGTAGAAGAGGTGTCTCATCTCGTGAGTCAATTTTTTTCATTAGCAATATTGTTTTTTTGTAAACAATTTAGGTAGAAAAGCGCCTCTGTAAAAATCAAAAGGACCCTGGCAATAAATCTAAATTCCATTTAAATACAAAGTCAAATTAGGTTTTACGCTTTAAATATCGACTTTCTGAGCCCTTTTTTGTTAATAATTTTCGAAGAGACAGAAGGTTAATAAGGTTGCATTGACGGGATAAATGAATAGAATTTTGCAAAAACTATTGGGCCCACAGCGCCCATCTTTCGCACAGTTTTGAAGAACAATAAAACTCACAACTTTTAGGCATATTTATAAAATTCCAACAAATAACAACCAAATTATGGATAATTAAAAAAATGTTGCTTTTCTACGTTTTTTTTTATGTTTTGATGATACACCTTTTCTACTGCCTTCCCCTGCACATTTCAATAATAAAATAGCGGACGTCAATTCATCGATGTTTAGATATTATAGCGACGCCACTACTGTCGTAATTTCGTTTATCTATTTATTAGAGTTATTCCCTAAATTCTGAATTGTGTTAAAGTGTACCTTTAAAGGCATATATTCTAGTATAGCGTCTAATTAGTTTTTAGAAAGTGTAGATTATTTTCTTCGATTAATGTGAGGAGGTAGAAAAAATTATGTAAGTATTATGTGATCACCATCAATGCCAGCTCGTACATTCACACTAAACTGCTGTTGCAACCTCCTGTAAAACCATCACTGATTTTTTTAGTATTTTTCTGGATCAAAATTAGGCAAAGCATACTCAAAAACAAAAACACAAATTTTTATTCAATTTTGACTTACCATTTTTGAATTACGAATAATGAAGAAAATTTTTGAATAATTTATAAGGTTGTAGTTTGAAAGCGGTAGTTTTTAAAACACATATTTGTAGGGCAAAACAGTTACGTAGGTATTTAGGTACATTTAATGTTTTACCATCAGTCCTGGTTTAATTTATTTGTAAGTTTGAAGCATATATTCCAGACATAGGTATTATTGCTCAGGTTAATATAAAAGTTGTCATCTTTTAAACATTTAACTTTTCTGTTTTTTAAAATTTATTGCCGAAAATGTGTGCACTGGAATAAATTGTGAAATTGTTTACTTATTAACATACTATTTTTTTCATTGAGGAAATATTGCATTTATAAGGAATATTTCTCTTCTTATCGTAACATATCAAATAAATGTACGATTACGTACATTTCGGTTGTCGTTTATGTTTTTTTGGGTTTCTGTTTATTAAGTTTGCTAAGTTAGGATGAAATAGGGAAGGAAATAATTAATTTATTAAAAAAAGAATTTGTCAATCCCAAAAATATTTACGTTGTAATATTTGAATTAATTTATAATTGATACAGGTACAAATTTGACAAAATGCCAATAATACCACTTTTCTATTTAATATTATCGTTTTAGAACAGCTGAATTTCCCCTGCTTTCCACAAATTTAATATTAAATTAAAAAATAAACGAAATAAAAAGAAAATGCGCACTTTAAACATATTAACGAAATACTCGATAATAAAATAACATTTTACAATATTAATATATTGTATTATATCAGCGACATACATTTAAACGTTCTTGTACATAATTATCTGATATTTTATCTGTGCATAAAAATTGTAGCTTAAATTATGTACGTACATCTGAATCTCTATTTTTCTCTAAACTGTTTACATCTCAAAAATATATTTTAACTTTTATATCGATCATATTGTATACTAATATGTTACGAAGAATTTGAATACTGTGTTAGGTGTTTAGTGTGCCCAGTTAAAATACTTGCAGATATATTTTCGATCTGCAAACTTTATTTTACTAAATCAGTTGGTTTTGCTAATTTATATTTATTAATAGTAGAATTTTGATATAACATCCTTTCTTGTGAACAATAACTTGACATTTGGAAATTAGCTTCCGTGGTTACCAACCGCATGTGAGCTCTGACATTCTTATTTGGGCCCTACATACTCGTATACTTTAGCTACTTCATGGGTAGATATTTAGTAGTATAAGTTTAATTGATGTCAAATTTTTCGTTAAAAGAAGAAAGCGTAGTTGAAAATAGTTACATTATTATTTAACTATTTGAAACATATCTATTTTTGTTTCTATATGGACAACTTTCAAGGTAAAAATAAAGAATACACTGAAATTATTTCGTCAGTAATAGAAATTGGCTTAATACTTTAATTATATTTATGTACAATGACGAGACTTTTCTGAGGTTACTGCAATTCTCCAAGCTTTTTCTCCATAAACGGATAAGGCAAAAATATGTAGAAAAAAGGTGAATGATACATAATTATCAAATCTGAAATATTAATGTAGTTTTGATCTTTGCATCTCATTGCCACATAATTGTTTAAATCTTTCAGGTATATTTCTGGATCAAAATTAGTACAACACTGTATCCAAGTGTTCGGGGACTTAATAGTGGGGGAGGGTCAAGAAGTGTTCCGGAAGTAAGTGCTAAACTTTTAAACATCCATTACAACTCATCAATAGCAGTAACTATTTTCTATTTTTTTTTTGCTAAAACACATTTTTGTGCGGTGTTTTGTACCCATTAGAATATTGTTAAGGAGTTCTGTATAGATAAGAGAAGTGTCTAAGTAACGTATGCGAATGATTTTTGGATTTTTTGTATTTCTTTTATATTATTACCTCAATTAAGAATTTAGACTTGTACTTCAGTGACTGGTAACAAATATTTAGAATTTTAAAGTTATATTATCTTAAAAACTAAGAGATTTTCTAAGAAAAAGTACCAGACAAAAATTGTTGCTCGTGACGAGTTAAATGTTTATTTAAAAAAAATAATTAAATACTTAGCAGTTATTTCCGGAATACCCTATATATCTCTAATATTGTTAGGAAGTCATTTATGACACTTTGAAAACAAGTGACAAAAAAAGTCGGAGTAATTTATTTTCTCAAAAATTTTCAGATGTCAGTTTGTGATTTTAGCTAAATCGGATATTTAAAAACATCATACGCTGGCTTGCCACATACTTGAAGCTACCCAGTTTCAATCTATCCAAGATATTTAACTAAACTTTATTTACATTTAACCATATATTGAGACAAAAGCTAGAGATTTCAAAGCAATTAAATGCTGCTGTTTTTTTGTAGTTGGTTTTTATAAAAAAGCGCATGCAGTCCTTAGTTTCGTATCATATAATGTAATGAAAAATTATATACATAATTTAATTTCCAACGATTTTTTTAATAAAAGTTATGCCTGACTCATTCATTATGAATGTGTCTAATACTGTCTAAAATTTGGTGACCACTCTAAAGACTATTCATTTATCAAATCTATTCAAAAATGAATTCATGTTTTAGTATGAACGGTGCTTTAGGCATATGAAACACACATAAGACATATTTAAGTCTTATGTAAAGCTAATAGAGATGTAATTACATTTAAAGCAAATAATTACATACAAGTATTAATAAATCTGCCTACGCTCCTTTGCTTCTATCGTATATTAAGATGTAAATCATTCATTTATTGCTTTTATTCTTTGTACAATGAAGTAACTAAATTAAACATTGAACACCCCTCTTTCAAAATGAATAAAAAATGGCTTCTGAGTTCAAATTTATACACCTAAATAATAACTTACTTCAGGAGTTAATAATTTAATATTAAGTGTCCTCGCCATTTTGAAGCGGAAGTTTCACGCTCAGTATTTGTTGTCTTCATGTAATATCATGAATGGTTATTGCGCTGCGGAAAATCGACCTCAGAATTTCATAAATGATTTTCTGCTTGAATTAGTATCCTTTAGTAAGACGGAATGTGCTCTTCAGAGCG